GGGAAAGAGATGTCCAGGCAATCTGAGATGGATTGATCCCTCAGGAGAATTGTAAAAAGGATTGAAATTGGGTGAATTTAGATTACATTACTTTCAGCAAAAGTAGGAAAATCAAGCCTTGGTGTCCTGGCCGAACTTCAGTGTGCTCCCCGGTGTATGTTGACACGCATGGTTTATAGTTAAACAGTTGTTTCTATTGTACTTACGTGGCACTTTCATTTCAGTTGCAGCTGAAGGGATAGCTGCATAGTTCTTGCTATAGGAATCCTTTGGGCTAGATGCTGCAGTCAGAACAGTAGGAATGTTACGTGTGCCAGTAGGGTAGCACAGCAGCTCTGAAAGCAACGTGCAGGTGAAGCTCTTGTTTCGTCTGCTGCGTCTAGCTGGCATGATTCAGACATCCAAGTGTTTAGAGACCCTTTATTTGAATTCTGCTTCTCTGTAGTGCCTTATCTTCAAAAGTCAGCACCAACATTAGCAAGTATCCAAACGCATGTGCGTAAGGTAAGTGTTTTACTTAGGTGGAAATGAAGTCAGAGGTTGTGATACCTCTAAAACAGAGGTTTGGGGTCAGAACTGGGATTGGAATTCAGGAATTTCCACCTCCCAGTTCTACTATTGAGTCAGCTCAAAGAAATTTCCTGTTCTTAGTGTCTCTTAGAATTTATCAGATTTAGTTTGACCCAGACTCATCGTTTTGTAATGAAGTGAAGAACGTTTGAGGTGGGTAGTGTATCCCAGAAGAAGCCACCAGGACGGTGTCACTACAGATAACTGTAGCATCACACAGGCCTCCAATAAGTCTCTTCCTTAACTCTTGTAATAGGATGAATCAGGAGTGTGACTAGAGCCAGTTAACAACTTTCAGTATTTGTGTTCCAAAAATAAATGACTGATAAAAAATAGCAGGTAACAGTGAGCATTACACATTGATGAGAGGCAATTTGCCAACATTATAGTTGCAGTAATAAAACGTATAGGAGAACTAGATTGTAATGAACAAAAGGACTCGGTCATTGCTGAGAAGTAGGATGAGGCAAGTGGAATTTTTCTGATGAGGGATGATCTGGCTTTGCAAGAATTGCTGAGGTCAGACTATGAAATAGCGTGAATGTTGAGTTGCAAACTTGTCTTCAACAGCAAAGGGGCTCTGTTACATAGTGTCTACAAAATTACTTTTGGTTGTTTGGATCCTTTTAAAGTGATCTTGCTAAGACTGAATCCTTGTGTCCCATAGATGTTGATCCTGTAAACACAAAGACTGGAAGCAACAAAATAAATAAGTGATACACACCTGATACGCAGATATGAAATGTCTTTCTCCAGAGAAAGCTTAACAGTAGATGGCAGTAGATACTGCAGGATGTTCTGCAGGTCTCTAATCCAGCTTATTTTCCTTTTCTTGTAAAGGTTGTGTCACAACAAACAAACAAAGGTATATCTTCCAGAACCTCCCTTTCCCCACGCTGAGGTAAGTAAACCACGGTCTTGCTGTTGCTCAGATCTCAGAGCAAACGGGTTTCTGGAACCCGGTCCTGTGTGGCTGTTCTGTTTTTCTGATTAATGCTTCTGCAGCTATTTAATAGTTTTGTGTCATTATTCTTACAAGGTTTTTTTTTTTCTGTGATCAATTTTAGGGGTGTGGGGGAGGAATGCAGGATGGTGTTCCCTCAATTCAGAAATTATCATGATGTTTATTTCAGCATAAGCTTACATATGCTTGCCTGTTTTACTTCTCCCCCACAGAAGGCTATGTGGTGTACACATGGATGAGTATTTGCTCATATCAAATTGCAACCATGAATATTCCTTTTGTCCAAGCAGTTTATTTCTAACTGTGTAAAACTAAGAGCTTACTGTCAGAGACAGCTTAGTCATCCCAGCTCCTCCTACCTCCTCGCTGGAACAGGCACCATGTTGTCTGCTGCAGGAGAAAGGACATCTTGAAATAGAGATTTGATATCAAAAAGTTAAAGCTTGCAGCACCGAGTGCTGTCATTGGCAATTTTATGTGAAATGACTTGAGCTAGCGTCTTGGTGAAGCAAATAGGAATAAGGCTCCTATCTTTTGGGGGGATCTTCTCAGTAACAAAATACATATTTTGAGGAGATGTTTTAGCCAACCAGACATTCAATAAATGTGGCCTAACTCCTGCCTTCAGAGTTATCTCGTATATCAAGAGAGTGAATCTTCTATTTTCTTCCCCGGGAACAGGCAGATGGGAGTAAATGGGAGGCAGGTTGGGAAAGGGAAAAGTGGGTCTGAGAAATGATTTCGGCTAGATTGTGCTCCTGTGAGACAGTGAGCCACTTATGGCATGCAGTCTGAGGAAACTGGCTCTTTTACTTCCTGTGATCAAAACTATGTTTGATGGGATGTGCAGAGTGGCCATTGCAGGTTTAAGAGGCCAGAGATTAAACGCTGCTTCTGACATCTTTTTTTTTTTCCCTCTAAGGGAACTTGTTCAGGGACTTGTTCTACTGAGCTGGAAATTTCCACTGTCTGTCCTATATCATCTGTAGGTGCTTCAAAGGCATTGTTAGAAGCAGGATCTGACTAGAAGCCCTCGCTCTTTCCAGATGGTTGAATGCATTTCGGGCAGGGTGTGCAGTGAATCGGGAATAGTTTGTCACCAAGAATAACGGAGATCGCATGGCAGACCACCCATTCACCACTTTTTTTTTTTTTTTTGTAACCGAAAAGCTCATTCACCCCAGTAAAACCATTCCAAAGCCGATCTCTGACTAGAAGAAGACTCTGTAGCCATGCTGCTGGCTGTGCTTTCTAATTTCCCCCGTCTTTCTGCTTTCTTTGTTGATCCACAGTGTCTTTGGTTTCACTGACATCCTATATTCTACCAAAGGCTTTGCTTCAAAATTTTAGTTCACAGCATACATTAGAACTGGCAGGTTTAAGTGAAAGCCCTTCCAAAAATGGGAAGCCAAACATGCAGCTGTCAAACACTGGATTAATTAACCCATCTTATATGATGGCTTTTTGTGTTTTATAGAGTGATAACTCTGTCCTCTAATTTTTAGGACATTTTAAATTCTTCAGAGGCCTGTCGATAACAAGATTCTGCCAAATTATGGTTTAGTTGTTGAGAAATTTCTCTGTGCTGCATGGGTAGATCAAGGAAATTATCTAGGAAAGGATTCACAGCAGAAGATCAGTTTCCTTGTGACAAAATGAAGTGCACAGAGGCAGTAGTGTGACTGTTACAGCTACAGGCTTGGGTTGACAAGGCCAAATCATACAGGCTGTGACCCACAAAGCTAGGGACTTTTTATCATGGGATGCGTAAATACCTTTGTCTAGCTAGACGCACGGATATCATTCCTAGGAAGCCGTTCTTAGGCTTCCTAAATTTTTGCCTAAGGGTTCCCTCAACTGTTTAAATGCTGAATGACAGAGAATGGTGTGTATCCACACCCTTGTGGTTCCCAAACTATTAAAAGACTGCACCCTTAAAGTATTTCAGCCTTGAGTTGCCATCTGAAGTAAGTACTGCACATTTCACAGTAGGTCATCTAACAAAACCACGATTTCATGTTTGGGTGTTCAGTTACAGCTGCTGAATAAATACTGGAGAATGGAGTAAATACTGGGAAGTGGAGTAACCTGCACTGGCCCCCCATGATGGACTAAATGACCTGATAGGTCTCTTCGCTGCTAATTCGTGATACATATTGGCTGTTTTGGAAAACCAGATGGTATGGTGGGAGGCAGTGGCCTTAGGCATGTGGCAAGCTTGGCTAATAGCAAAACCGAAGCAAAATAACACCCAGGCAAAGGAAGACTGAGCCTATTACTTTGTTTAGTGCCTTTCTTAAGGTCATGAATCACTGAAGTTTAGACATGCTGAGAACACCAGCTCAGATTGCTCCTTTCTGTTCTGTGAAATGCATGGCTTTGTTTTGGTTTTGTTTTAAACAGTCAAAGCATATTGAGATTTATGTAGATGATTGACATGGAACACACAACCATGCTTACCATCATTTTCGCAGCAGTGCCAAGATGTCCATGTCAGGTATCCAGTGATCATCATGTACCTTTGATTCCTTGTTGCTACCATTTCAGGGGCAACTGCAGTGAACCTTTTATTCCCATAATTTTCAGCTGCTTTAGGCTGTATTCCAGGTTCAGTGGTATCCACAGCTGGCTATGGTTTAGTGCTGTCATATGGCTTCTGAGGCACGGGAGAGGAGCTGCTTGGTTTTTCCTTCTAGGAAATACAGAGTTGTATCAGATAAAGTAGACGGAAAGGAGTGGGGGAATCTTGGAGCTGACACTGTACATGTAGCTCATATAACGTGACACGTGTATACAACCTCTTTTCAATACGATTTTTAGCACATTTACTATTTATCCACTGGCAGAAACCCAGTCTGCTTGCGCAAAGAGTATCCACACCAGGCTCAGTTGCTGTGCTGTGTTGGTGTAATTTTACCCAACAAAATGGTCTTAATATAGACCTGGCTGGAATGGCCTGACCGTGGCCGTGCCGTCAGTCTGGGAGAGAATGAGGACTTGAAGTCAAGGCTTCCTGTTCCTAGGTTTGAGCCTTGGTTAGCAGTCTGTCATTTTGTCCTTGGTATCCACGACGGTCTTTCTAAACCTCTGACTTCACAACCTCCAGAGTCAGGGGTTCTGCTTAATAGCACACAAATATCTTTTTAATGAGTATCAGAAACAGGCATTAAATGATCGTTTCAGTTGGGTAGGTTGTTACTGGAGAATTGCCATACTGTTTTCAAAGTAACGGTAGGCTTGTGCTATGTAAAGTATATGGAAATGGCCCATGATGAAAGGATGTGCTTAGCTGCTCAGTTGTTGGAAGAAAAGAGAGGATTACTCAGACAGGCCTATTAGTTATTAGCAAGCATTAATAATGTGCCTGGCATGATACATCAGAGAGGGACAGGCCAGGAAACAAGCTTCTAATTATCTACAGACCAGGTCCAGCACAGCATGCTGTCTGCTCCTGAAGCTGGATGTTCTTATAAGCTATATGAACAGCAATATTTAGAAACAAACAAGGAAAAAATCCCCCAAACTGTTGACGTGCTCAGTTTCTTGCAGCTATGAGTTCCGCTGATGCCTTGTACATAACGTAGAAGAGCATTTACTTCCTTTAATCCATTACGGTGGTATTACTTTTGTATTTCACTTAACTATCCCTTTGCAGTGGTTACAAGAGGATAAAAAATACTTAGTGCCTTCTCTTCTCTACCATTATTATTTTTATTTTGTCCTCTCTTACTCCTCTTTCTAAAGTAAGTTGTTTGAAGCTTTTTCATTCTCTTTGCAAATCAGTTTTTCCAAGTTTCTGATTTATGTTACTTGTTCTGAACTCCTCCTTGTTCTCGTGGGGTGAATAAAACCAGACTGCCTGCTCACCTCTCCGGAGAACCCAAAACGCTTTGACTCCCTCCTTCTTGCTTCTCCGTTTCGTGTATGAGTAGAAGTTTATCATAGCTCCTCCCATGCAATCACTGCATAGAATTTGTTGCTCTTTGGAATGATGGTTTGTTTCCTAAAATCCAGTTTGAGTGAATAGGAAGTGTACTTTCCTTATGCTGTGAGCAAGGAATATGGGCTAAAATGCTTCAGAGTTGTAGGGGGAATTTGACCATGAATTCTTACTGAAGTTGGCATGAATGGGGTGTCCAGATTCTTGCAAAAGCTTTCGAAGGTCTCAGCTGCAGTCCTTACTGGGGCACAAGCTAAAAGGGCATCTTACTAAAGACGTTTCTCTGTGATTGCTGGGATAAGAGTTGTTGTGAGTCTGTTGGAGGGAAGTTAGGATCTGGAGTAAGACTGCTATAAATCCTAGCCGGTGATTCCTCAGGAGGAAAAGTAGGGAA